ACAGGCCTCTATAGCTCAGTGGCAGAGCGTCTGTCTCGTAAACAGAAGGTCTGCGGTTCAATCCCGCATGGAGGCATCCTTTTGACTATTAACATGGAGATTACTGGGTGCGATCCTCCCGAATGCAGCCCAGTTGCCACATATCGGTTCAAGTATAGCCAGAAACTAGGGGCCTTTATGGCTCAGTGGAGGAGCGTTTGTCTTGTAAACAGAAGGTCTGCGGTTCAATCCCGCATGGAGGCATGCTTTTTACAACTAGTTCTATGGAAATGATACTGGACTTGCTTCTTTCATGGGTAATTTCACTTGCCGCAGCAGAAAATCCGGTTGTTTAATTATGGGTCTGTGCTTCCGTAGCGCATTAGGCAGCGCGTCAGTCTCATAATCTGAAGGTCGTGAGTTCGAGCCTCACCGGGAGCAACCTTTTGAGACTTCACCATGGCATGCACAAGTTCCAGCACTACTCGTGTAACTCGTATGTACAGAAGCTCCACCATCTTAATGTAGGAGAAGCGGATCTTGCCTAGACAAATTTGATGACAGCGAAAAATCACAGGCCTCTATAGCTCAGTGGCAGAGCGTCTGTCTCGTAAACAGAAGGTCTGCGGTTCAATCCCGCATGGAGGCATTCTTTTGACTATTAACATGGAGATTACTGGGTGCGATCCTCCCGAATGCAGCCCAGTTGCCACATATCGGTTCAAGTATAGCCAGAAACTAGGGGCCTTTATGGCTCAGTGGAGGAGCGTTTGTCTTGTAAACAGAAGGTCTGCGGTTCAATCCCGCATGGAGGCATGCTTTTTACAACTAGTTCTATGGAAATGATACTGGACTTGCTTCTTTCATGGGTAATTTCACTTGCCGCAGCAGAAAATCCGGTTGTTTAATTATGGGTCTGTGCTTCCGTAGCGCATTAGGCAGCGCGTCAGTCTCATAATCTGAAGGTCGTGAGTTCGAGCCTCACCGGGAGCAACCTTTTGAGACTTCACCATGGCATGCACAAGTTCCAGCACTACTCGTGTAACTCGTATGTACAGAAGCTCCACCATCTTAATGTAGGAGAAGCGGATCTTGCCTAGACAAATTTGATGACAGCGAAAAATCACAGGCCTCTATAGCTCAGTGGCAGAGCGTCTGTCTTGTAAACAGAAGGTCTGCGGTTCAATCCCGCATGGAGGCATGCTTTTTACAACTAGTTCTATGGAAATGTGATACTGGACTTGCTTCTTTCATGGGTAATTTCACTTGCTGCAGCAGAAAAATCCGGGTGTTTAATTATGGGTCTGTGCTTCCGTAGCGCAGTAGGCAGCGCGTCAGTCTCATAATCTGAAGGTCGTGAGTTCGAGCCTCACCGGGAGCAACCTCTTGAGACTTCACATGGCATGCACAAGTTCCAGCACTACTCGTGTAACTCGTATGTACAGAAGCTCCACCATCTTAATGTAGGAGAAGCGGAGCTTGCCCAGACAAATTCGATGACAGCGAAAAATCACAGGCCTCTATAGCTCAGTGGCAGAGCGTCTGCTCGTAAACAGAAGATCTGCGGTTCAATCCCGCATGGAGGCATTCTTTTGACTATTAACATGGAGATTACTGGGTACGATCCTCCCGACTGCAGCCCAGTTGCCACATAACGGTTCAAGTATAGCCAGAAACTAGGGGCCTCTATAGCTCAGTGGAGGAGCGTTTGTCTTGTAAACAGAAGGTCTGCGGTTTAATCCCGCATGGAGGCATGCTTTTTACAACTAGTTCTATGGAAATGATACTGGACTTGCTTCTTTCATGGGTAATTTCACTTGCCGCAGCAGAAAATCCGGGTGTTTAATTATGGGTCTGTGCTTCCGTAGCGCAGTAGGCAGCGCGTCAGTCTCATAATCTGAAGGTCGTGAGTTCGAGCCTCACCGGGAGCAACCTTTTGAGACTTCACCATGGCATGCACAAGTTCCAGCACTACTCGTGTAACTCGTATGTACAGAAGCTCCACCATCTTAATGTAGGAGAAGCGGATCTTGCCTAGACAAATTTGATGACAGCGAAAAATCACAGGCCTCTATAGCTCAGTGGCAGAGCGTCTGTCTCGTAAACAGAAGGTCTGCGGTTCAATCCCGCATGGAGGCATTCTTTTGACTATTAACATGGAGATTACTGGGTGCGATCCTCCCGAATGCAGCCCAGTTGCCACATATCGGTTCAAGTATAGCCAGAAACTAGGGGCCTTTATGGCTCAGTGGAGGAGCGTTTGTCTTGTAAACAGAAGGTCTGCGGTTCAATCCCGCATGGAGGCATGCTTTTTACAACTAGTTCTATGGAAATGATACTGGACTTGCTTCTTTCATGGGTAATTTCACTTGCCGCAGCAGAAAATCCGGGTGTTTAATTATGGGTCTGTGCTTCCGTAGCGCAGTAGGCAGCGCGTCAGTCTCATAATCTGAAGGTCGTGAGTTCGAGCCTCACCGGGAGCAACCTTTTGAGACTTCGCCATGGCATGCACAAGTTCCAGCACTACTCGTGTGACTCGTATGTACAGAAGCTCCACCATCTTAATGTAGGAGAAGCGGATCTTGCCTAGACAAATTTGATGACAGCGAAAAATCACAGGCCTCTATAGCTCAGGTGCAGAGCGTCTGTCTCGTAAACAGAAGGTCTGCGGTTCAATCCCGCATGGAGGCATGCTTTTTACAACTAGCTCTATGGAAATGTTACTGGACTTGCTTCTTTCATGGGTAATTTCACTTGCCGCAGCAGAAAAATCCGGGTGTTTAATTATGGGTCTGTGCTTCCGTAGCGCAGTAGGCAGCGCGTCAGTCTCATAATCTGAAGGTCGTGAGTTCGAGCCTCACCGGGAGCAACCTTTTGAGACTTCACCATGGCATGCACAAGTTCCAGCACTACTCGTGTAACTCGTATGTACAGAAGCTCCACCATCTTAATGTAGGAGAAGCGGATCTTGCCTAGACAAATTTGATGACAGCGAAAAATCACAGGCCTCTATAGCTCAGTGGCAGAGCGTCTGTCTCGTAAACAGAAGGTCTGCGGTTCAATCCCGCATGGAGGCATCCTTTTGACTATTAACATGGAGATTACTGGGTGCGATCCTCCCGAATGCAGCCCAGTTGCCACATATCGGTTCAAGTATAGCCAGAAACTAGGGGCCTTTATGGCTCAGTGGAGGAGCGTTTGTCTTGTAAACAGAAGGTCTGCGGTTCAATCCCGCATGGAGGCATGCTTTTTACAACTAGTTCTATGGAAATGATACTGGACTTGCTTCTTTCATGGGTAATTTCACTTGCCGCAGCAGAAAATCCGGTTGTTTAATTATGGGTCTGTGCTTCCGTAGCGCATTAGGCAGCGCGTCAGTCTCATAATCTGAAGGTCGTGAGTTCGAGCCTCACCGGGAGCAACCTTTTGAGACTTCACCATGGCATGCACAAGTTCCAGCACTACTCGTGTAACTCGTATGTACAGAAGCTCCACCATCTTAATGTAGGAGAAGCGGATCTTGCCTAGACAAATTTGATGACAGCGAAAAATCACAGGCCTCTATAGCTCAGTGGCAGAGCGTCTGTCTCGTAAACAGAAGGTCTGCGGTTCAATCCCGCATGGAGGCATTCTTTTGACTATTAACATGGAGATTACTGGGTGCGATCCTCCCGAATGCAGCCCAGTTGCCACATATCGGTTCAAGTATAGCCAGAAACTAGGGGCCTTTATGGCTCAGTGGAGGAGCGTTTGTCTTGTAAACAGAAGGTCTGCGGTTCAATCCCGCATGGAGGCATGCTTTTTACAACTAGTTCTATGGAAATGATACTGGACTTGCTTCTTTCATGGGTAATTTCACTTGCCGCAGCAGAAAATCCGGTTGTTTAATTATGGGTCTGTGCTTCCGTAGCGCATTAGGCAGCGCGTCAGTCTCATAATCTGAAGGTCGTGAGTTCGAGCCTCACCGGGAGCAACCTTTTGAGACTTCACCATGGCATGCACAAGTTCCAGCACTACTCGTGTAACTCGTATGTACAGAAGCTCCACCATCTTAATGTAGGAGAAGCGGATCTTGCCTAGACAAATTTGATGACAGCGAAAAATCACAGGCCTCTATAGCTCAGTGGCAGAGCGTCTGTCTCGTAAACAGAAGGTCTGCGGTTCAATCCCGCATGGAGGCATTCTTTTGACTATTAACATGGAGATTACTGGGTGCGATCCTCCCGAATGCAGCCCAGTTGCCACATATCGGTTCAAGTATAGCCAGAAACTAGGGGCCTTTATGGCTCAGTGGAGGAGCGTTTGTCTTGTAAACAGAAGGTCTGCGGTTCAATCCCGCATGGAGGCATGCTTTTTACAACTAGTTCTATGGAAATGATACTGGACTTGCTTCTTTCATGGGTAATTTCACTTGCCGCAGCAGAAAAATCCGGGTGTTTAATTATGGGTCTGTGCTTCCGTAGCGCAGTAGGCAGCGCGTCAGTCTCATAATCTGAAGGTCGTGAGTTCGAGCCTCACCGGGAGCAACCTTTTGAGACTTCACCATGGCATGCACAAGTTCCAGCACCAGTTGTGGATCGTATATCTTAGATATCATTAAGCTGGTGTGGGGAAGCAGAAGGTTCAAATGTTCAGCGTAGGCTCTGAGCTTCCGTAGCGCAGTAGGCAGCGCGTCAGTCTCATAATCTGAAGGTCGTGAGTTCGAGCCTCACCGGGAGCAACCTTTTGAGACTTCACCATGGCATGCACAAGTTCCAGCACTACTCGTGTGACTCGTATGTACAGAGGCTCCACCATTTTAATGTAGGAGAAGCGGATCTTGCCCAGACAAATTTGATGACAGCGAAAAATCACAGGCCTCTATAGCTCAGTGGCAGAGCGTCTGTCTCGTAAACAGAAGGTCTGCGGTTCAATCCCGCATGGAGGCATGCTTTTTACAACTAGTTCTATGGAAATGTTACTGGACTTGCTTCTTTCATGGGTAATTTCACTTGCCACAGCAGAAAAATCCGGGTGTTTAATTATGGGTCTGTGCTTCCGTAGCGCATTAGGCAGCGCGTCAGTCTCATAATCTGAAGGTCGTGAGTTCGAGCCTCACCGGGAGCAACCTTTTGAGACTTCGCCATGGCATGCACAAGTTCCAGCACTACTCGTGTGACTCGTATGTACAGAAGCTCCACTATCTTAATGTAGGAGAAGCGGATCTTGCCTAGACAAATTTGATGACAGCGAAAAATCACAGGCCTCTATAGCTCAGTGGCAGAGCGTCTGTCTCGTAAACAGAAGGTCTGCGGTTCAATCCCGCATGGAGGCATTCTTTTGACTATTAACATGGAGATTACTGGGTGCGATCCTCCCGAATGCAGCCCAGTTGCCACATATCGGTTCAAGTATAGCTAGAAACTAGGGGCCTCTATAGCTCAGTGGAGGAGCGTTTGTCTTGTAAACAGAAGGTCTGCGGTTCAATCCCGCATGGAGGCATGCTTTTTACAACTAGTTCTATGGAAATGTTACTGGACTTGCTTCTTTCATGGGTAATTTCACTTGCCACAGCAGAAAAATCCGGGTGTTTAATTATGGGTCTGTGCTTCCGTAGCGCATTAGGCAGCGCGTCAGTCTCATAATCTGAAGGTCGTGAGTTCGAGCCTCACCGGGAGCAACCTTTTGAGACTTCGCCATGGCATGCACAAGTTCCAGCACTACTCGTGTGACTCGTATGTACAGAAGCTCCACTATCTTAATGTAGGAGAAGCGGATCTTGCCTAGACAAATTTGATGACAGCGAAAAATCACAGGCCTCTATAGCTCAGTGGCAGAGCGTCTGTCTCGTAAACAGAAGGTCTGCGGTTCAATCCCGCATGGAGGCATTCTTTTGACTATTAACATGGAGATTACTGGGTGCGATCCTCCCGAATGCAGCCCAGTTGCCACATATCGGTTCAAGTATAGCTAGAAACTAGGGGCCTCTATAGCTCAGTGGAGGAGCGTTTGTCTTGTAAACAGAAGGTCTGCGGTTCAATCCCGCATGGAGGCATGCTTTTTACAACTAGCTCTATGGAAATGTTACTGGACTTGCTTCTTTCATGGGTAATTTCACTTGCCGCAGCAGAAAAATCCGGGTGTTTAATTATGGGTCTGTGCTTCCGTAGCGCAGTAGGCAGCGCGTCAGTCTCATAATCTGAAGGTCGTGAGTTCGAGCCTCCCCGGGAGCAACCTTTTGAGACTTCACCATGGCATGCACAAGTTCCAGCACTACTCGTGTGACTCGTATGTACAGAAGCTCCACCATCTTAATGTAGGAGAAGCGGATCTTGCCTAGACAAATTTGATGACAGCGAAAAATCACAGGCCTCTATAGCTCAGTGGCAGAGCGTCTGTCTCGTAAACAGAAGGTCTGCGGTTCAATCCCGCATGGAGGCATGCTTTTTACAACTAGTTCTATGGAAATGTTACTGGACTTGCTTCTTTCATGGGTAATTTCACTTGCCGCAGCAGAAAAATCCGGGTGTTTAATTATGGGCCTGTCCTTCCGTAGCGCAGTAGGCAGCGCGTCAGTCTCATAATCTGAAGGTCGTGAGTTCGAGCCTCACCGGGAGCAACCTTTTGAGACTTCACCATGGCATGCACAAGTTCCAGCACTACTCGTGTGACTCGTATGTACAGAAGCTCCACCATCTTAATGTAGGAGAAGCGGATCTTGCCTAGACAAATTTGATGACAGCGAAAAATCACAGGCCTCTATAGCTCAGTGGCAGAGCGTCTGTCTCGTAAACAGAAGGTCTGCGGTTCAATCCCGCATGGAGGCATGCTTTTTACAACTAGTTCTATGGAAATGTTACTGGACTTGCTTCTTTCATGGGTAATTTCACTTGCCGCAGCAAAAAATCCGGGTGTTTAATTATGGGTCTATGCTTCCGTAGCGCAGTAGGCAGCGCGTCAGTCTCATAATCTGAAGGTCGTGAGTTCGAGCCTCACCGGGAGCAACCTTTTGAGACTTCACCATGGCATGCACAAGTTCCAGCACTACTCGTGTGACGCGTATGTACAGAAGCTCCCCCATCTTAATGTAGGAGAAGCGGAGCTTGCCCAGACAAATTCGATGACAGCGAAAAATCACAGGCCTCTATAGCTCAGTGGCAGAGCGTCTGCTCGTAAACAGAAGATCTGCGGTTCAATCCCGCATGGAGGCATTCTTTTGACTATTAACATGGAGATTACTGGGTGCGATCCTCCCGACTGCAGCCCAGTTGCCACATATCGGTTCAAGTATAGCCAGAAACTAGGGGCCTCTATAGCTCAGTGGCAGAGCGTCTGTCTCGTAAACAGAAGGTCTGCGGTTCAATCCCGCATGGAGGCATGCTTTTTACAACTAGTTCTATGGAGATGTTACTGGACTTGCATCTTTCACGGGTAATTTCATTTGCCGCAGCAGAAAATCCGGGTGTTTAATTATGGGTCTGTGCTTCCGTAGCGCAGTAGGCAGCGCGTCAGTCTCATAATCTGAAGGTCGTGAGTTCGAGCCTCACCGGGAGCAACCTTTTGAGACTTCACATGGCATGCACAAGTTCCAGCACTACTCGTGTAACTCGTATGTACAGAAGCTCCACCATTTTAATGTAGGAGAAGCGGATCTTGCCTAGACAAATTTGATGACAGCGAAAAATCACAGGCCTCTATAGCTCAGTGGCAGAGCGTCTGTCTCGTAAACAGAAGGTCTGCGGTTCAATCCCGCATGGAGGCATGCTTTTTACAACTAGTTCTATGGAAATGATACTGGACTTGCTTCTTTCACGGGTAATTTCATTTGCCGCAGCAGAAAATCCGAGTGTTTAATTATGCGTCTGTGCTTCCGTAGCGCAGTAGGCAGCGCGTCAGTCTCATAATCTGAAGGTCGTGAGTTCGAGCCTCACCAGGAGCAACCTTTTGAGACTTCACCATGGCATGCACAAGTTCCAGCACTACTCGTGTGACGCGTATGTACAGAAGCTCCACCATCTTAATGTAGGAGAAGCGGATCTTGCCTAGACAAATTTGATGACAGCGAAAAATCACAGGCCTCTATTGCTCAGTGGCAGAGCGTCTGTCTCGTAAACAGAAGGTCTGCGGTTCAATCCCGCATGGAGGCATGCTTTTTACAACTAGTTCTATGGAAATGATACTGGACTTGCTTCTTTCACGGGTAATTTCATTTGCCGCAGCAGAAAATCCGAGTGTTTAATTATGGGTCTGTGCTTCCGTAGCGCAGTAGGCAGCGCGTCAGTCTCATAATCTGAAGGACGTGAGTTCGAGCCTCACCGGGAGCAACCTTTTGAGACTTCACCGTGGCATGCACAAGTTCCAGCACTACTCGTGTGACTCGTATGTACAGAAGCTCCACCATCTTAATGTAGGAGAAGCGGATCTTGCCTAGACAAATTTGATGACAGCGAAAAATCACAGGCCTCTATAGCTCAGTGGCAGAGCGTCTGTCTCGTAAACAGAAGGTCTGCGGTTCAATCCCGCATGGAGGCATGCTTTTTACAACTAGTTCTATGGAGATGTTACTGGACTTGCTTCTTTCATGGGTAATTTCACTTGCCGCAGCAGAAAATCCGAGTGTTTAATTATGGGTCTGTGCTTCCGTAGTGCAGTAGGCAGCGCGTCAGTCTCATAATCTGAAGGTCGTGAGTTCGAGCCTCACCGGGAGCAACCTTTTGAGACTTCACCATGGCATGCACAAGTTCCAGCACTACTCGTATGACTCGTATGTACAGAAGCTCCACCATCTTAATGTAGGAGAAGCGGATCTTGCCTAGACAAATTTGATGACAGCGAAAAATCACAGGCCTCTATAGCTCAGTGGCAGAGCGTCTGTCTCGTAAACAGAAGGTCTGCGGTTCAATCCCGCATGGAGGCATGCTTTTTACAACTAGTTCTATGGAAATGTTACTGGACTTGCTTCTTTCATGGGTAATTTCACTTGCCGCAGCAGAAAAATCCGGGTGTTTAATTATGGGTCTGTGCTTCCGTAGCGCAGTAGGCAGCGCGTCAGTCTCATAATCTGAAGGTCGTGAGTTCGAGCCTCACCGGGAGCAACCTTTTGAGACTTCACATGGCATGCACAAGTTCCAGCACTACTCGTGTAACTCGTATGTACAGAAGCTCCACCATCTTAATGTAGGAGAAGCGGAGCTTGCCCAGACAAATTCGATGACAGCGAAAAATCACAGGCCTCTATAGCTCAGTGGCAGAGCGTCTGCTCGTAAACAGAAGATCTGCGGTTCAATCCCACATGGAGGCATTCTTTTGACTATTAACATGGAGATTACTGGGTGCGATCCTCCCGACTGCAGCCCAGTTGCCACATATCGGTTCAAGTATAGCCAGAAACTAGGGGCCTCTATAGCTCAGTGGAGGAGCGTTTGTCTTGTAAACAGAAGGTCTGCGGTTCAATCCCGCATGGAGGCATGCTTTTTACAACTAGTTCTATGGAAATGATACTGGACTTGCTTCTTTCATGGGTTATTTCACTTGCCGCAGCAGAAAATCCGGGTGTTTAATTATGGGTCTATGCTTCCGTAGCGCAGTAGGCAGCGCGTCAGTCTCATAATCTGAAGGTCGTGAGTTCGAGCCTCACCGGGAGCAACCTTTTGAGACTTCACCATGGCATGCACAAGTTCCAGCACTACTCGTGTGACTCGTATGTACAGAAGCTCCACCATCTTAATGTAGGAGAAGCGGAGCTTGCCCAGACAAATTCGATGACAGCGAAAAATCACAGGCCTCTATAGCTCAGTGGCAGAGCGTCTGCTCGTAAACAGAAGATCTGCGGTTCAATCCCACATGGAGGCATTCTTTTGACTATTAACATGGAGATTACTGGGTGCGATCCTCCCGACTGCAGCCCAGTTGCCACATATCGGTTCAAGTATAGCCAGAAACTAGGGGCCTCTATAGCTCAGTGGAGGAGCGTTTGTCTTGTAAACAGAAGGTCTGCGGTTCAATCCCGCATGGAGGCATGCTTTTTACAACTAGTTCTATGGAAATGATACTGGACTTGCTTCTTTCACGGGTAATTTCATTTGCCGCAGCAGAAAATCCGAGTGTTTAATTATGGGTTTGTGCTTCCGTAGCGCATTAGGCAGCGCGTCAGTCTCATAATCTGAAGGTCGTGAGTTCGAGCCTCACCGGGAGCAACCTTTTGAGACTTCACATGGCATGCACAAGTTCCAGCACTACTCGGGTAACTCGTATGTACAGAAGCTCCACCATCTTAATGTAGGAGAAGCGGAGCTTGCCCAGACAAATTCGATGACAGCGAAAAATCACAGGCCTCTATAGCTCAGTGGCAGAGCGTCTGCTCGTAAACAGAAGATCTGCGGTTCAATCCCACATGGAGGCATTCTTTTGACTATTAACATGGAGATTACTGGGTGCGATCCTCCCGACTGCAGCCCAGTTGCCACATATCGGTTCAAGTATAGCCAGATACTAGGGGCCTCTATAGCTCAGTGGAGGAGCGTTTGTCTTGTAAACAGAAGGTCTGCGGTTCAATCCCGCATGGAGGCATGCTTTTTACAACTAGTTCTATGGAAATGATACTGGACTTGCTTCTTTCACGGGTAATTTCATTTGCCGCAGCAGAAAATCCGAGTGTTTAATTATGGGTTTGTGCTTCCGTAGCGCAGTAGGCAGCGCGTCAGTCTCATAATCTGAAGGTCGTGAGTTCGAGCCTCACCGGGAGCAACCTTTTGAGACTTCACATGGCATGCACAAGTTCCAGCACTACTCGTGTAACTCGTATGTACAGAAGCTCCACCATCTTAATGTAGGAGAAGCGGAGCTTGCCCAGACAAATTCGATGACAGCGAAAAATCACAGGCCTCTATAGCTCAGTGGCAGAGCGTCTGCTCGTAAACAGAAGATCTGCGGTTCAATCCCACATGGAGGCATTCTTTTGACTATTAACATGGAGATTACTGGGTGCGATCCTCCCGACTGCAGCCCAGTTGCCACATATCGGTTCAAGTATAGCCAGAAACTAGGGGCCTCTATAGCTCAGTGGAGGAGCGTTTGTCTTGTAAACAGAAGGTCTGCGGTTCAATCCCGCATGGAGGCATGCTTTTTACAACTAGTTCTATGGAAATGATACTGGACTTGCTTCTTTCATGGGTTATTTCACTTGCCGCAGCAGAAAATCCGGGTGTTTAATTATGGGTCTATGCTTCCGTAGCGCAGTAGGCAGCGCGTCAGTCTCATAATCTGAAGGTCGTGAGTTCGAGCCTCACCGGGAGCAACCTTTTGAGACTTCACCATGGCATGCACAAGTTCCAGCACTACTCGTGTGACTCGTATGTACAGAAGCTCCACCATCTTAATGTAGGAGAAGCGGATCTTGCCTAGACAAATTTGATGACAGCGAAAAATCACAGGCCTCTATAGCTCAGTGGCAGAGCGTCTGTCTCGTAAACAGAAGGTCTGCGGTTCAATCCCGCATGGAGGCATGCTTTTTACAACTAGTTCTATGGAAATGTTACTGGACTTGCTTCTTTCATGGGTAATTTCACTTGCCGCAGCAGAAAAATCCGGGTGTTTAATTATGGGTCTATGCTTCCGTAGCGCAGTAGGCAGCGCGTCAGTCTCATAATCTGAAGGTCGTGAGTTCGAGCCTCACCGGGAGCAACCTTTTGAGACTTCACCATGGCATGCACAAGTTCCAGCACTACTCGTGTGACGCGTATGTACAGAAGCTCCACCATCTTAATGTAGGAGAAGCGGATCTTGCCTAGACAAATTTGATGACAGCGAAAAATCACAGGCCTCTATAGCTCAGTGGCAGAGCGTCTGTCTCGTAAACAGAAGGTCTGCGGTTCAATCCCGCATGGAGGCATGCTTTTTACAACTAGTTCTATGGAAATGATACTGGACTTGCTTCTTTCACGGGTAATTTCATTTGCCGCAGCAGAAAATCCGAGTGTTTAATTATGGGTTTGTGCTTCCGTAGCGCAGTAGGCAGCGCGTCAGTCTCATAATCTGAAGGTCGTGAGTTCGAGCCTCACCGGGAGCAACCTTTTGAGACTTCACATGGCATGCACAAGTTCCAGCACTACTCGGGTAATTCGTATGTACAGAAGCTCCACCATCTTAATGTAGGAGAAGCGGAGCTTGCCCAGACAAATTCGATGACAGCGAAAAATCACAGGCCTCTATAGCTCAGTGGCAGAGCGTCTGCTCGTAAACAGAAGGTCTGCGGTTCAATCCCACATGGAGGCATTCTTTTGACTATTAACATGGAGATTACTGGGTGCGATCCTCCCGACTGCAGCCCAGTTGCCACATATCGGTTCAAGTATAGCCAGAAACTAGGGGCCTCTATAGCTCAGTGGAGGAGCGTTTGTCTTGTAAACAGAAGGTCTGCGGTTCAATCCCGCATGGAGCCATGCTTTTTACAACTAGTTCTATGGAAATGATACTGGACTTGCTTCTTTCACGGGTAATTTCATTTGCCGCAGCAGAAAATCCGAGTGTTTAATTATGGGTTTGTGCTTCCGTAGCGCAGTAGGCAGCGCGTCAGTCTCATAATCTGAAGGTCGTGAGTTCGAGCCTCACCGGGAGCAACCTTTTGAGACTTCACATGGCATGCACAAGTTCCAGCACTACTCGGGTAACTCGTATGTACAGAAGCTCCACCATCTTAATGTAGGAGAAGCGGAGCTTGCCCAGACAAATTCGATGACAGCGAAAAATCACAGGCCTCTATAGCTCAGTGGCAGAGCGTCTGCTCGTAAACAGAAGATCTGCGGTTCAATCCCACATGGAGGCATTCTTTTGACTATTAACATGGAGATTACTGGGTGCGATCCTCCCGACTGCAGCCCAGTTGCCACATATCGGTTCAAGTATAGCCAGATACTAGGGGCCTCTATAGCTCAGTGGAGGAGCGTTTGTCTTGTAAACAGAAGGTCTGCGGTTCAATCCCGCATGGAGGCATGCTTTTTACAACTAGTTCTATGGAAATGATACTGGACTTGCTTCTTTCACGGGTAATTTCATTTGCCGCAGCAGAAAATCCGAGTGTTTAATTATGGGTTTGTGCTTCCCTAGCGCAGTAGGCAGCGCGTCAGTCTCATAATCTGAAGGTCGTGAGTTCGAGCCTCACCGGGAGCAACCTTTTGAGACTTCACATGGCATGCACAAGTTCCAGCACTACTCGTGTAACTCGTATGTACAGAAGCTCCACCATCTTAATGTAGGAGAAGCGGAGCTTGCCCAGACAAATTCGATGACAGCGAAAAATCACAGGCCTCTATAGCTCAGTGGCAGAGCGTCTGCTCGTAAACAGAAGATCTGCGGTTCAATCCCACATGGAGGCATGCTTTTTACAACTAGTTCTATGGAAAT